ATTGGACTTGCACACTTACGTGATGCTACGCTACAGCACGTTCTCTTCAATTTGCACAACTACGTGATGCTACGCTACTGCACGTTCTCTTCAATTTGCACACTACGTGATGCTACGTTGGCTGGGGTCGGGGGGTGGGTGGGTGGGTGGGTGGGGGGGATGTTAACGTTCATTGGTGGGGGGTGTTAATGTCGCTGGGACGTTGTCTGAAGAAATTTGTTTTTTCCAATCTTCACAGAAAAGTGAAGACTTTGGTGGGGTCAGAGGTGAATCCATCTCTGCGACGTCGTTGTTTCCAATATGTGTGGAGCTGTAATGTCCAAACTTGTACACCACTGGTCATGCTGAATGAGCTGGCAAAGTTGGTGAAAAACAACGACGCCGACAACTGCTAAAAGAGTTGAAAAGAGACGTTTTGATGCAGAAACGCTATAAAAACGCCAGGCGCCTGACGCGCCCGCGACCTGGTTTCAACCATCTTGAAAAATATATGAGTTCGTCAATGGGAAGGATGACAACCCATATATTATGGAAAATAAAAAAATCCAAACCACCAACCAGAATATGTCCCAAAATTGATTTCCATTGTATCCCCATTAAACCAATGGTTAAATCATTGTTAAAGGGCCCCATTTCCCAGTCATCCCAGTCATCTCAACCATCCCATTGCGTAGGTATCCCGAAGGGTGGATTGTCCACATGATATCCGACTTAGGATCCGACCGGTTTTTTTTTTATCCATATATAGTTGACCCAGAGTTTCTCCCCATGAATCCCATAAGTGGGGATATTCCATAGACAACTGGATACAACTGGGGGTATAAGCTTTACAAAGTGGGATGCACCGAATGATGTCCTCACTGATGCATCGAACATCCCCCGAAATTCAGCCACCTGAAGACTTGCCTCGACGGAGAGTGCCTGAGAGATAGGACTTTCCTTTAAGTCACAGGGGTACCCCACTTATCCTCTGGCAAACCAACATAGCTATGGAAAACCACCATTGTTTATGGGTAAATCAACTATAAATGGCAATTTTCAATAGCTATGTTAGTTTACCAGAGGGTATCATGTCATGGATGACCATTTTAGTATTGAAACAACCGTGGTGACTTTGGGTAGGAACTGTCCCCATTTGTAGATCATTTTCCCATTGAGACCTCTATCTAGTTCGGGGATTTTCCAGCCGGACATGCCAGGAGAGCTTGGCGGATTTGGTTCCAACTCTCCAGTTTGGATCGCTGGCAATCATGAGGTCAATCCCAACAATTGTGAAACATCTGACATGGCCAATCAACGTGAATAAATGTCTATACTTATAAATATATATATATACTATATTATACTACATAGGATTGCCAGTAGCTGCTTGCGATGGTGATGCCGGAAACAGCATAAGCTTTTGAGCAAGCTTGGCTCAAACCCACCACCCCCCAAAAATGTTTGTTTTTTCTGTGCAAGAAACCCCTTGCAAGGTGGTGGCCCCCCAGTTATAAGTTGTTTTAGTTTCACCTTGAGCAAATATCCCCTACAGACCAAAAGTTATTGGAGTTATAAACCAACTTTGCTATCACAAATCAGCGTGACACTGCTATATATATATACATATATATATGCACATAAATCCGTTAAATCAGTATACATTTCTTTGCTAAATCACTGTGTTTCCTCTGGTTTCTAGAGGGTATAGGCACCATATACCCCTTGAAACAAGTTTGGGACTCACCGTCAGGAGCCGAGAAGCTGCCAGAACGTCTCCCGATCCGCTGCTGAGAATGCTCCTAAGCTGTGGTGTCATGGCAGGAAATCTCCATGAAGAATGGTGGCTTAGGGCTTAGTTCGCTGGGAAAAATCAACTCCAAATGGATAAAAACCAAGGATTTGCAAGCGATGGTTGATTCCTGGAGGGTCATCAGGAGGTTTCACGGTCATGTTGAACAATATTCAACAAACATGGGACATTTAGACATATACAACCCCCTTGAGGCATCCCCAACAGCAACCCCCGTCTTCGGCGCTCCATATGGGAAGTTATGGGATGATGCGGTGGAACCTCCGAGATGTGTTGGTAAAGGTTGACAAAGATCGCGCACATCTCAATGAAACTTAATCCTAAACCTGAGAAAAACGGATTTGAGGCCAATAAATTGGATGGTTCTCCCAATGCTGACCATCTCTTGTGCTTGGTGGCTTGAGGTTGCTATGATCCAATATCCATATTTTCAAGATTAGATTCTGACATATTCAAAAATGTCTAAGTGTCATCGCCATACTTTCCGATTTCGGCATAGGATCAAAGCTCGCAGACTTGTGAAAAAACTGTCGTATGGGGATGGGTCACCGAGGCCATGAGGATGAACATTCATTAAAACATTCATTAAAACCAGCTATATGGAGGTTTCCAAGAAGTCATGGACCCCTAAATCATCCATTTTTGTTTGGGACTTTCCATGAAATAAACCAACTAGCTATTGGGATACCCACCATTTATGGAAACCCCCATATTGGGATACCCAGCATTTTTTCCCTTACACCAATCCATTGAATTAGGGGATGAACCTTAACCAAGGCACAACGACAAGACCTGCGCCCTGCCATAGCCGGCTGCCATGCCGCGGGCTGCCAGCGGGAAACCCTGATAATGATCGAAGTGGGACCCTGTCAACAGTGATCCAATGGGGAGCTAACATGAAACATATGTGAAACATATGTGAAACATAAGTGTAGGCTCGACGTCGCACGGCTTGGTGCCAGTAAAGCCCCCATGCATTTCCTGCCTTCCGGGGCACAAACTGAGCCAAAGGTGGCAGTGATAGATCTGAAACCCACAGTTTTCCGGCGCTTCGACTCGTGTCGGACAGGTGCCAGGGGATTGAAAAAATAGCGTATCGAATTAGGGGACGGGGATGGAGAAAAACCTTCACACGGAAGTTTGGACATAAGGACTGCCGGATTCAAGCTCAGCTTGGCACTCTGCGCACATTAGTTCTTGATACTGTAACTGGTTGGTGGTTTGAACCATCTTGAAAAAAAATACAGTAGTCAATGGGAAGGATTATCCCATATATTATGGACAATAAAAAATGTTTGAAACCACCAACCAGGTAAACATCTTGGAACATTTTTTCACAACCTTTGTGTAAGTAAGTGATGTGATGCGATGCGACGCGACCCAACGAGATCCATCGCGATGCGATATGCTTTACAGTTCTTATAGTTTGTGTTTACACGTATGCATACATCTGCAGTAAATATGTGTAACATTGTATAACATATATTAAAAATATGTATATTATATATATATATATAATTTATATTTAATATTATTTAATTATATGTATATAGTAATGACTTCGTTGTCTGCTGTGGTTTGCTTCCTCCATCCGCAAAAACTAAGGTGCTCCTCTTGGGTGCAAAACGCACTTCCAGAGAGTTTGAAGTGTCGCACCAGCGGAGTGCAAAACGACAGGTACAACGACTCTGCTGTACCACGGGCATTCGGAAACTCATGTGGCAGGGCCACAGCTTTGCAAAAAGATCAACGGGTCCGAACTTGGACCACTGATCTTTGCCACGTTAAGTCCATTTAAGTGTCCTCCATTCCTATTCTTGGGAGCCAACGTTGAAGAAATTACCAGGCTATACCAGGCTTATGTTGATACTGTTACCCGCTGTTACCCTTGCATCTGCGTCTGTAGCTGCTCATATCTCAGGAAAATTTCGATGTAAGCAGCACAGACGCAACAACTGGGCTGGGGTGCTGACATCAGGAAGTGCACGACGTGCGCACTCGGGGATCATCATCCCATGGATCGATGAAAATCATCCCATTTGACACCACCAAGCAGATCATCTTGTATCCCCATTCTATCACCAGTTTAGATGGCTAAACAGATCCTCTTTTTTTGGGGGTGAGTTCAAAAGTATGTCTTACATATTATGTCTACACAGATATGGATGGAATATGATGGAATATGAAATTCTCCACCTACCTGGCTTACAACGGCTGCTGTGAGTATTTGTCGATTCATGTCTGGTAAGAAATCATGGTGGACATAAACGGATGCATCAACAAAATGGATATTCAACAAGTTATTAATGGATATACATGGCAGGATGTGTTTTTGTTTTTCCGACCTTGGCTTTCATGATCCTTTTTCCAGCACTTCTTCACCCTATCAGAATTATCAGAGTCTTGAGCTATCACGTTCCTGAACACACTCAGCACTTCAGCTACCTCTGCAGCCCCTGGATGGCTTGGCAGCATGCTGCAAGTTGCTGCACGCATAGATGGAGAAAATGCTTGCAGTTGCCACGGCAAAACTGGGATTGAACCATCAGGCATTGAGATTTCTCCATCAAAAGAGGGGATTGGGGATCAAACAGGCAAACATCGGAGTTGAATATGAATCTATCATCAAGAAACAGGTATATTATTGTAGTTTGAGTCTGAATCATTGCACAGTGATCGCAGGTGATTTCGGCTGAGTATTGTTACAGTCTCAGTTTACAGTAGTTTTTCAAAGGGGGAAAGCTTTAGACGCATGTGAGTAGTGAATTCTAACTAATGAATTCTTTTTGTTTGTGGGAAGGAAATCAGATCAATGAAGTCCCTCCTATATCGCTTACACATTTTGTAGTATTCCAAGAACAATGCTTCTGGTGCCAACCTATTTCCAACACTGGCACGTTGTCACCTTTTCAGATACCAGTACAGTAGTGTGCTAAGAATCCCTGCTCTGTTTTTGAAGCCCGCCTAATTAGTGGATCCTGAGTTGAGGTTTCCCACTTACCCACTGTAGCTGGTTGTTGCATGTTGTCCCCATTCTGTTGCTCAAACAATGCCCCACATATTTTGATTTATTTGATTTATTTGGGGATGGGTCAAAACCCTATCCCCCTGGTGAACATCAAAATAGCTGGTAAATGGATGTTCATTCCCCTAAAAATGGTATTAATAGGTATTGATCCATAGCCATTTGGCTTCTTCACCTCAGTTCTTTGTCAAATATTTCCAGCACATTCGCAGCACAACCACTGCCACTGCCGCCCAGCTTTGACTCCGAGGCATGGCACAGGTGCCACTAAGCCTCACGAGGAAAACCCATGTTGTCGAGCCACTCCTGCCATGGCTTTCCGGTGGAGCTGCCGGATTTCTCGGGTCACCAAGGGTGGTTTCTGAAAAAATGGGGGATCCCCAAGCCCCAAGTCACCATGGGGTTCAATACTACAATGGTCTAATGACTTGGATGATTTGGGGGGACCACTATTTTAGGAAATGTCCATATCATAATTACCATATCATAATTGTGATATATTATTATCTATTATTATTATTAGTACTATTATTATATTCTAGAATTATTCATCGTGACATTGGCCAGTGAGGTCCTCGCAATTCACGCAGCTCGGTTCAACCAACAATCCATGGGGGTACCCCGAAATCATCCATTTTTGAAGTGGATCTGCCAGAAGACGCCTACTGGTCCTCTCGGCATGAAGCAACATGTTGACACCTCCAACTCACAAATTATGATATATCTAATATATATATATACATTTGTAGTAATTACTTGTCATTTTCTGTTCTAAAGATCCTCTTTTTCTTCACCCAAGTTTTCAAATCCATCCTCCAGCAATCTGTCAGGTCTCAAAAATCTGAGCCACCCATCCATTCTGAATTGGATATTTTTGGGAGGCCCGGCCTCAATCAACTTGCATGGAAACTTGGACAACATGCTGGTAGGAGTTGGCACAATGTCCCCCATACCTCGGGCATCACATTCATCTGTGCTAGTAAACATGTCGCGTGTGGGGGGAACGTTCACATCAACTTGGCACTAGAGATGCTACCCTACATGATGTTACACACACCAGAGATGTCGCTGCCAGCAACTTCAGCTGAAGCTTCACAAAACTGCCACGAAACTGCGGCGACACACAACGCAGAACATGGTGAAAGCCTTTTCGCTGCGGCGAAACCATCATTTTGGTATGTCTTGTTTCTACGCATTTTTGTGAGCGGGGTGGGATGTTTTCACACGCAAATGTATAACCACCTTCACCATGCTAGTGGACATGGTAAACACCACATGAGTGGCGGACAAAATTACTTACTACCCGCAATGGACATGGCCAAAGTGGGTGGTCCCTATCGGTTGTGAAGGTTTTCGATCGCCCAGGTCTCGGATCCACCCTGCCATAAACTATCGCAGCAACCAACGATGACCGGGGGGCCATTAAGAACATAGTCCCATTACCAGGGGGTATATCATGGTATATCGATGTATACCCAACTTCATAAACCCCAATTAGGGATAGATCGGGAGAGTGCTGGTAGTGGCTTAGCAGAAATGCTTCGGATTGCGAATGGCGATTATGATTTCTTTGACCCAATGTATCTGCATCCCCCGTTCCAAGATAACTAGCCTCTGGTAAACTAATATAACTATGAAAAAACACAATTTTTAATGGGTAAATCCACTGTTTCTATGGTCATTTTCAATAGCACATTGTTAGTTTACCAGAGGGTAGCAAGAATGTTCAATTGGATTGTCCGATTGTCAGAGTCTTTGTCACAGTATCTTGGCCATCTGTCAGCATCCACTCTCGCTGAATTATCATTCACAAAGATCACAGGGTAACTCACCATTTATGAACCATCATTTTACATCATTTTACTTTTAGACGTCACTCAAAAATCAAGATCATATAATCAGATCGAACATCTTAAAATTTCTATGATTCAAAATGACATAGCAACAACATAGGATCCACTGATCAATTTCTTGGACATGGGAAAAAATGGAAACATTGAACGAAAGCAAACAAATCGAAACGTGACTTTGACGTTCCGGTTTTTTGTCAAGTTTCAAGCCCTATGGGACCACAGATTTTGGTATATATCTTTAGTCTAGGCCCATACCTTCCATCTGACCTTGGCCCATCCCCAAATCATCGAAGCCCCAGCAGCTTCGCAGCAACACGTCGGAAATCTCGTCTTCAGCTTCCGAAGTGATACCACCTGGCAAACAAAGTGGACAGGTGGTGTGCTACATAGTTTAAAAAATTGTTTAAAAGAGATGTACCCTCTGGTAATTTAGTATAGCTATGGTATGGTATAGTATGGTATGGAAAATCACCATCGTTAAGAGGGAAACCATTCATGAATGGACAATAGCTATGATCAACTGAGGCTGTACAGAAAGCTGTACCAACATACACCAACAGTTACTCAGTCAATGGCTAACGGTAATCAACATGTTATTTGAGTCAAATATGTGTTTTAGAAAAAAAAACTTGTAGGCAAATGCAAGAGTTATAAGTTTGCCGGTAGGGTGTATGGGCCAAGTATCATTCAGCAATCTAAATAGATGTCTGTTCCTCCATGTGCAACTGTCGAATTTTCCATCGGATGAACCAAGAAAAATGACCCCAAAATGGTCCTTCCTACAGTATTTGAATCCATCTACTGAGAAGAGTTTCAGAATTGCTCTTATTCGGAAACTCAGCGTATCACATTGCTCTATCCAGGAAAATTGCGTGTAGTCACACAAAAGTCCTACATGAAGGTTTCCCAAAATAGGGATACCCCAACTCATCCAAAATTGGACTAGTTTAGTATTGAAACCATTTGAAAGCTATTGTTTTGGGGATCCCCCATTTTAAGAAACCGCCCATCTATTCGTTGATGATCAGTCTCCAATAGTTCCCCCAAATTCTCACCATCCAGCGCCCCAGTTTTAAATGGCCACCTTTGGGACCCCATAAGATCGGGCAAGTCCCCTGTTTGTTTGATATAACTGGTGAGTGAAAAAATCTCATCTCCATTGATCACGACCAGCAAAAAAAAGTTGTAATAACTATACATCCACGATTGATCCAGAAAATATCATCATATCATATCCTCATAGAGTTGGTTGCAATATAAGCACTATAAGCCACTATGCCATGAACCACCATTGGTAAGCTGGTCAAATCCCACAACAGATTCCGAATCCCATTCATCCTCCAATCCCATGAATTACCCAATAAATCCCCGGAAAAAAAATCATTAACAATCCCATTAACAATCCCATTACACTCCACATCCCATCGCGAAACATCTCGCTTCAAGGGACGCTTGGAATCTCGCATTGCCAAGCCCATCACCTCTCGTGATTCACCCGTAGCCATGCGGATTGGTTTATTTCATCATTCAACCCATGGTGATAATAGTGTGTATATATATATATATGTATCTATCTATCTATCTATCTATCTATCTATCTATCTATATATCTATCTATATATATATATATGTATGTATGTATATATATAATAATATATATATATATATATATATATTACATATATACGTATATGTGATATCCATTAGGTTGAATGTGAAATATCCATTAGACTATCCTTATGACTATTCAACCGTAGGTTTATGCCACTATATGTAAATATGGGACTGATTGAGGTTACTTTGGGGTAGTGGCATAGGTTACCATTACCCTTCCAAAGCATTATTTTGGCACAGGTTACTTTTCCAACTCAATATAAGCAGGTAATGTATGGAAATGTGGCAAAACCATGCAAAACCAATCCAACTCTACTTGGGGATATTTTTTGCAACCAAACGCTATTGAGGATTGTTTCTGACTGGTATTCCCACATGATTATTGATGTTCGCATGTTTGTAACCTCCAAAACACAATTTGTCAAGGTGTCTTTGACAGCCAAGTGTTGATGGGTAGATCATGTAAGTTGGTTGCAAGAACATAATCCCAAATCTTGGGTGTTTAATAACGGAGCCGCAAGCCAAGTCTCTCGGAAGTTAGTATGCCATTGCATGCCTTTATATTGATGAATCGATAATATGATTTCTTGAGTCTCTCTCTCTCTTTCTGCATACATTTAGCCATACACATGTACACGCCTATATATTATACTTGTGTTATAGTTATAGTTATATAAATATATATCTATATGTAAACCATATGTACATGTTTCAGTCATGTGAGCAGTGTTCAAAACCCCTGTTGGTTGATGATTATAGAGGATTATACCACTCAACATATTGGGGATTATTTCCTAACCCAAAAACGGGGAATCCCTATAAACCAACCAGTATAATGGAATGATAGAGGGATTTTAAACGCTGCTCACTGGGTAAAAACCATATGTTATATTATATCATATTATATCGATGTTATAGTTATAGTTATAGAATATAGTTATATTTAAACCATATCTAAACCATATATGTCAGTCATGTGGAATTCCATCCACACCATGGATTTTCGCTTGTCCTTGCCTTCTCCACGCTGGGGCGGAGCTCCGGCAGCGGCCACCGGCTTAGGAGTAGCCAACACAGGTCGTCGTGCTCCTGCCGAGATGCCTGGCGGATCTGGGTGGGGGCCCCGGTGGGGGTGGACCTGGGTGGAAACATATGGCAAATAATATAACGGATAAACACCCAATGGAAACACCCAATATATATGGTGCAAATATATGGAAACACCCAATGATATGGAAAATTTTAAAATTCAACGGATTGGTTTAAGGGAAAATCTACGGGAAAACCATGGGTTTTTACCATCAAATATAGGGGTTTCCTGTAAATTTTCCCATCATCCAATGTTATGGAAAATGTAATATGTAATTGAGAAAATATATTATGAGATATGGAAATAATTGATAACATATGGAACATATATGGCAAATTAATTGAAAACCACTATAAATGGAGGTTTATAGCCGGGAATTTCACTGGGGAAATATGGGAAACATCTATGGAATATGTTCCTGATATGCTCCAATGATATGAATCGAAAAAGGGGGAACAAATCCATGGGAAAATGGACGATCAATGGAGGTACTGGGGCTGGGACATAATGCTGGGAACATCTCTCCGTGATTTTTACGGTTTACAGTTTGTGATGGAAAATCACCATGTTTTTCTATATAAATCAACGAACTAAATGAGCCAATTTTCCATATGTTGAATTACCAGAGGATACAGGCTGGTGCGCCATAGTTTTAACTCATCAGTTTTGGTTTACGCTGGTACAACAACGAGCTAGGGTTGATTGAGGGGTTATATCGCACTAGTTCATGGGGATTACAAACCAACAAACATAACTGGGGGGTACCACCCTGTATCATCCTGTCTATCCCTATGGATCCAATACTTCCTGAGAAGTTACTTTGCCTCCCAAATCACCGCCTAAGTACTCTGCACATCCGTCCCGCAATGGGATCCAGACACATTGGGTATATATATATATATAAATCCCTATCTGTAGTAACATGTTTTTTCTTAGAAATCTACCTACTGTAGTGATTTCTTGTACATGGAACATCCATCTTCATATGGCTTCTTCGATTAATGTGTCCTCTTTAAATATATAGCAAAATCATGGTTCTGTCTACATGATTATCAAATCTCAAAATAATCACTTCGTTGACCGGATATTGTGAAACAAACGTATGGTCCAAAGACAATAAGTATAGTATCAAAAAAAACAGGAACATATCTGGAATATACAATAATATATTTAGATTTAGAACCATGTTGATACATATCATGCAATGTCATGTAGTGTATAATATAATGTACTGTAATGTAATGTACTGTAATGTAATCTAATGTATATACACAAATAGATAATATTACTGTTGAGTGATTGAGTAGCGAAACACATCTGCAAGAAACAGCTAGGTGAAGTGCGCCAAACGGCGATCCGGTGAAGATGTGTTCTGTCAGTTTCCGAAATGCCACTCGAATTCAGATCCTTCACCGATTCACGTGAATATGTATACATAATATGTACTAATATGTATTATGATGTATTATGTAATTATGCACAAAATATATATATATAAATAATTATATAATACTAATCAATATTATACACACATAGTTGGCAACTGGAATATATGGGTATCCAAGTCAATCTGTCGGGCCCTGGAAAACTCAAACATGTTGGTCATTGGGCGGAGCCTAGCTCGCAGGGCGCCACGATGATATGGGTGACTTTAAACATGTGACAATCCGCACGGACATAAGAACTTCCAACATGGATCATCATGGGTTAACATAGCAAAATTCAACAATACAGCGTTAAAAAATAAAACACGATTTAAGGCATGAAAATCTCTATACACAACAAGTGTTTAACACGATGGTGTCAGTAGAATGTCAGTGCTACTGAAGATCCGACAATCAGATTCGATCAGTTCACTCCGACACTCCCTGTCCGGCACCTTATCCATAATTCCAAGCTGTTCCGCTGCATATGAACCTCACTGCATTGGTGGAAGTTGATGGTTGGGAATGGGATCGAAGGGAAGGGCATGGAATGGATCAAAAAACAAACCTAGAAGAGCAGAACAAAATATGATTACTCGGAATATGTGGATGTGACACAGGAGTTGCAGCGAATCCAATCAGCAAGAGTAAAATCCGTCAAATGGATCATGGCTAAGCAGTTGACTCCTCGCCCAAAAGAAACATGGTAGCTTGAAGATGAATTGAAGGTCCTTTCAGCAATTCTTTGGCTAGCTACATTCAGGATCTCTCTTTCTCACTCTCACTCTCTCTCACTCTCACTCTCTCTCTCTCTCTATATGCCTATATTTATATAGATGAATGTGTATTTGCATGTACTAGAATGGGGTGATATGGGGTGCACAGAAAAATAAAACATGCACAATTTTTTGGCAGAATTGGGCAGGATTGCCAACATCCCCAATTGGTGGTTTGTCCGAAAATAGGGTCAACCGAAAATCTGGTTGTATCTCGTCATCATGCTCCCGGTTTAAAACCAATAACACCACTATTGTTTTGGTCCATTATTGGGATCATTCACCGATTAACAATCCCTCAATTTTGACCCACAGCCGCTATAGCCACAGCCCAACTAAGACCTGGTTTGGTGCTCGATTTTTTATACCCTCTGGTTATTTAACATAGCCATGGAATAGATGGCCCATAGAAATAGATGGTTTACCTATTAAACATTGTGATTTTCCATGGCAAACTGTTAGTCATAACCAGATGGTAGCGATTTCGGACCAGAGACTGGAGAGCATCCCATATGTCACTCCAAGTCCATGCGGAATCACGCCATCGCCATACGCCTAGAGGTGTCTTTGTTGGGAATTATTGCTGTCAAAGATTGATGTCAATGTCAAACTGACAGGCATTGAAATTGGAACATCATTGAACTGAACGTATACTTGTAGCATGTTAAATATATATATATAAAGAATTGTAGCACGTTGTAACCCAGTTACTAAACACTTTACTAACTCGATGGCCCATCTCAGAATCTAACTAGTAACTAGAATGTACTGTTCAAATCACACAACAAAATTGGTGTTTAGCTGCATTAAATACTATAGTACTATAGCGACCACCACACAGGCAGAAGCAAACTAAACATAACTAAACAGAAACACGTCATTTACATTAATTTACCACTATTTTGACTACGGTAGTTTAGTAGGGCGGATGATTGTTTTCTTGTCTATTGCTATCTGTTTCGGGGTTGCTTTATATTAGAATGGATCGTAAAGGTGCAGAAATGATATCAAATGAAACAAATAGAACATAAATAGAACCAAAAAATGCAACAACATGTATAGATCTGCCCTTTGCGAGTTGTAATTTACAATCCAGAATCACGATGAGAAAGAAGGCGAGAAGTAAGTAGTTGAAAATAAGAAAACACTCATATCATTTAAGTTCATCATTCCAAAAGATTCCAGATACTCCTCCAGTGACAAACTAGGGGCACACATGGCTGGCCCCAAACTAAATACGTACGCCTCGTAACTGATGCTCCGAATCGGAATTAGGTCATTTGCCCACCATCATCCTAGTTCATGGTTCAAGATTTCGTAGTTCAAACTCTCCTGGTTGGTATCCACCCAAACAACCTTACCCCATGTTTCTCAGAATGTGTTTCGGGAAAATGTTCCAGAGACCCATTATCATCATTATCCATAAGACTCCTCCATTTTTCCCCCAATGAATCGACAACCTGAACTTCTTTTCCTATCATCTCCCATTAGGTCTGGGTCGTCCTGTTCAACTCTCCAACTTCAATCTGGTGGTATACCTACCCCTCTGAAAAATATGAGTTCGTCAGTTGGGATGATCATTCCCAATATATGGAAAAATATGGAAACATAACATAACATTCATGTTCCAAACCACCAACCAGATGAATATTGCCATCCATCACCGTGGCATCGCCACCCCGTCCTGATTTGACCCTCTCTGATTTAACCGAGCCTTCTCAATGGCATGAGAAACGGTGTGTCCATACTCAAAGATCATGCCGCAGTTCTTCTCGTAGGCATCGTTCGCCAGCCTTGCATCAAAACAGTCAAAACGGATCCACGGATCGAGTGGCCAACAAAAAGTCCAGCCATCCGTTCCCATGATTGCTTGATGTTCCTTCAACACACAGTTACAATATTTGTTGATTTATGGCATTTGATTGGAACAAATTTGGATGTGGGGATTCAGACCCCCAAAGTTCGGTGACACGGTAACACCCCCCATTGTTTGTTTGGGTTGACATGGCCTCACTAACCAACAACCACTGGGGCTGTCACCGGATGGGTAGTGGAATCCTCATGGTTGGTCCAAAAATGGGGGATACGGGATACCAAATTGTTCGAATGGATATTTTGACCATGATGATGATCCATCAAAATCGCGCCTAATATATTATATGTTCAAACAGACCCATGTAAATTCATAGACTCATAGAGTGCGCTTGGGAATTCTGCATCATTTCGCCCACATCGCAGCTCAATCCTTTCATTCCCGAGCCCCCTGGCGAATGTGAATTGAGATATTGCAACATCCACTTTTTCACCAGGAGAAACACACATGCTCAACCATAGGAAAAAAAAACAGCCCAAACATTTTAGAATCTAAGATCAAAGACTCAAAGCAATACCATTTTGCACTGCTCCCATCCCCCCAAAGTTAAACACCCCCATTATATGGTCTCAAATACCCTCTGGTAATTTAACGTAGCTATTGAAAATGGCCATTTATAGTGGATTTACCCATTAAAAATGGTGATTTTCCATAGCTATGTTAAATTACCAGAGGGTATGTGGAATTCCTCTACTACACGATTCTGTGTTTAATATGAACTGCGGATGGGATGACCATTTTAGCCATGGAAAATATCCATTTGATGATTTACCTACGTATATTTACCTATTTAAAATGGTGATAATGGTGATTTTCCATAGCTACTGTGGATGAAATAAATCCTGCAGCAATTAGTAGATGATTTATCCCATCAAAATCCCATTATGTACAGTGTTTCATAGTTCCCAATAGTTACCAACTGGTGCAGGGTTCGCAACCATCCACGGTAATTCTATTATACTAAAGTTACTAAACATCCATCCATGTATTAATTGTTAGTTCACCATTATTAACCATAATTATCAACGCAGGATGTTCAAATAAACCGTGGTCCATCACGAAGCCCAGCGACACAGACATCTTCGCATCGATGCCCAGAGCCAACAACTCCATGAGCATTCGATCGTCCATGGTGAACTCGTCCCCTCATGCGTGTGTCCATGGTCCAGCCCCAAGTGGCTGATCCAATAAGCCTCAAGCCATGTCATCCCTATAGCTACATACTTTAGCTACATTGAAATGTTCAGTGAGCAGTAAACACATCAAAACCGACTTAACCGACTATGACTATCATCAATGGCACCCCCATTTCATCAACTAACAGCTGGGCAGAATTCCCATTACATCAATCAATCAACATTTGTCTTCTGATATCATTAGATATTTCAAACAATGATGGACTTCCGCAAGTGAGCCATTAGACATACCCCGATCCCATCTCATTATACTAGTTGTTTTCACGGTTTCCCAATCCTATGGCTGATCATAATCCCAAATAACCTTGGTAGTATAACTCCCAACAAAACCATCAATCAACCATCAGTTATATCACCATATGTTTGATGGTTATAACTTCTAGCTTACCCTAAAGATGCTTCAATCTCCATGAAAAACCAATAAAATGCCTATTATAATAGTGGTTAAATCTCCGTAATTCCTCATTAAATCACAGTTAGATCCCATTGAACCACCATTAAATCACTATTCAACCTTTTTTCGAACCTATTGGCACCTATCATCACCTATTGTAACCATTTACAGTCATGTATAACCTATTATAACCTATTATAATCCCTATAAAATGACGGTGAATTCCCCATAAAAACCAAGCATGACTCCACCCGGCTCCCAGAGAGCGGCCTGAGCCGCCCGCGTCTGCGTTGATCCGGTCCGAGGACAGGGCCTTGCGGAAGCCCTCTGCGTGTTGGCCGCCCAGGAGCCTTGAGCAGCTGGGAGAATAATGAGCTGGAATCATAGTGCATATAAAAATATATATATATATATATATCTACTGTAACCATATATATATATATATATGATCGAGAGACCTTTAGGTACCATTTTGTTCCGGTTAATTCTGATAATTTTGAGAGCCTTTTGGGGGATTAAAAGGATTAGAGGGATTAAATGATTTAATCCTTTTAATCCTTTTAATCCTCCAGAGCCTTTTGGGGGATTGAAAGGATTAAAAGGATTTAAAGAATTAAATTGCTGGGCTTTTCTTGGGATTCTGGGAGGTCTGGATGATTAAAAGGATTAAAAGGATTAAAAGGATTAAATCATTTAATCCTTTTAATCCTTTTAATCCTTTTAATCCTCCAGAGCCTTTTGGGGGATTAAAAGGATTAAAAGGATTAAATGATTTAATCCTTTTAATCCTCCAGAGCCTTTTGGAGGATTAAAAGGATTAAAAGCATTAAATGATTTAATCCTTTTAATCCTCCAGAGTCCTTTGGGGGATTAAAAGGATTAAAAGGATTAAATGATTTAATCCTTTTAATCCTTTTAACCCTTTTAATCCTTTTAATCCTCCAGGGGGTCCGGAATTCCGGGCCCAAGCCCTTGAGAAATATATTTAAATCCATTTAATCCTTTTAATCCTCCAGAGTCCTTTGGGGGATTAAAAGGATTAAAAGGATTAAATGATTTAATCCTTTTAATCCTTTTAACCCTTTTAATCCTTTTAATCCTCCAGGGGGTCCGGAATTCCGGGCCCAAGCCCTTGAGAAATATATTTAAATCCATTTAATCCTTTTAATCCTCCAGAGCCTTTTGGAGGATTAAAAGGATTAAAAGGATTTAAAGAATTAAATTGCTGGGCTTTTCTTGGGATTCTGGGAGGTCTGGAGGATTAAAAGGATTAAAAGGATTAAAAAGATTAAAAGGATTAAATCATTTAATCCTTTAAATCCTTTTAATCCTCCAGAGCCTTTTGGGGGATTAAAAGGATTAAAAGGATTAAATGATTTAATCCTTTTAATCCTTTTAATCCTCCAGAGCCTTTTGGAGGATTAAAAGGATTAAAAGGATTAAATGATTTAATCCTTTTAATCCTTTTAATCCTCCAGAGTCCTTTGGGGGATTAAAAGGATTAAAAGGATTAAAAGAATTAAATGATTTAATCCTTTTAATCCTTTTAATCCTTTTAATCCTTTTAATCCTCCAGGGTGTCCGGAATTCCCGGCCCAAGCCCTTGAGAAATATATTTAAATCCATTTAATCCTTTTAATCCTCCAGAGCCTTTTGGAGGATTAAAAGGATTAAAAGGATTTAAAGAATTAAATTGCTGGGCTTTTCTTGGGATTCTGGGAGGTCTGGAGGATTAAAAGGATTAAAAGGATTAAATGATTTAATCCTTTTAATCCTTTTAATCCTTTTAATCCTCCAGAGCCTTTTGGGGGATTAAAAGGTTTAAAAGGATTAAATGATTTAGTCCATTTAATCCTTTTAATCCTCCAGAGCCTTTTGGAGGATTAAAAGGATTAAAAGGATTAAATGGTTTAATCCTTTTAATCTTTTTAATCCTCCAGAGTCCTTTGGGGGATTAAAAGGATTAAAAGGATTAAAAGGATTAAATGATTTAATCCGTTTAATCCTTTTAATCCTTTTAATCCTCCAGGGGGTCTGGAATTCCCGGCCCAAGCCCTTGAGAAATATATTTAAATCCATTTAATCCGTTTAATCCTCCAGAGCCTTTTGGAGGATTAAAAGGATTAAAAGGATTTAAAGAATTAAATTGCTGGGCTTTTCTTGGGATTCTGGGAGGTCTGGAGGATTAAAAGGATTAAAAGGATTAAAAGGATTAAATCATTTAATCCTTTTAATCCTTTTAATCCTCCAGAGCCTTTTGGGGGATTAAAAGGATTAAAAGGATTAAATGATTTAGTCCATTTAATCCTTTTAATCCTCCAGAGCCTTTTGGAGGATTAAAAGGATTAAAAGGATTAAATGGTTTAATCCTTTTAATCCTTTTAATCCTCCAGAGACCTTTAGGGATTAAAAGGATTAGAAGGATTAAATGATGAATCTTTAATCCTTTTATCTTTTTAAATCCTTTTAATCCTTTAATCCTCCAGAGCCCTTTGGGAGGAATTAAAGGATTAAAGGATTAAATGATTTAACCTTTTACTTTTAATCTTTTAATCCTTTAATCCTCCAGGGTGTCCGGAATTCCCGGACCAAGCCCTGAGAATATATGTTTTAAATCATTAATATTTTATCCTCCAGAGGCCTTTTGGAGGATTAAAAGGATTTAAAGGATTTTTGAAAGAATTAAATTGATGGCTTTTCTTGGATTTTTTTTCCTGGGAGGTCGAGGAATTAATTAAAAGCACAACGGATTTGAAAGGATTAAAAGGATTAAAAGGATTAAAAGGATTAAATCATTTAATCCTTTTAATCCTTTTAATCCTCCAGAGCCTTTTGGAGGATTAAAAGGATTAAAAGGATTAAATGATTTAATCCTTTTAATCCTTTTAATTCCTTTTACTCCTTTTAATCCTTTTTAATCCTTTGAATCATCCAGGGGGTCCGAATCCAGGCCCAACCCTTGAGAAATATATTTAAATCCATTTAATCCTTTAATCCTTCCAGGCTTTTGGAGGATTAAAAGATTTAAACGGATTTAAAGAATAAAATTTTGTGGGCTTTTCTTGGATTCTGGGAGTCTGGAGGATTAAAAGGATTAAAAGGATTAAATCATTTAATCCTTTTAATCCTTTTAATCCTCCAGAGCCTTTTGGAGGATTAAAAGGATTAAAAGGATTAAATGATTTAATCCTTTTAATCCTTTTAATCCTCCAGAGCCCTTTAGGGGATTAAAAGGATTAGAAGGATTAAATGGTTTAATCCGTTTAATCCTTTTAATCCTTTTAATCCTCCAGGGGGTCCGGAATTCCCGGCCCAAGCCCTTGAGAAATATATTTAAATCCAGTTAATCCCTTTAATCCCCCAGAGCCTTTTGGAGGATTAAACGGATTAAAAGGATTAAAGGATTTAATCCTTTTAATCCTTTTAATCCTCCAGAGCCTTTTGGAGGATTAAACGGATTAAAAGGATTAAATGATTTAATCCGTTTAATCCTTTTAATCCTTTTAATCCTTTTAATCCTCCAGGGGGTCCGGAATTCCCGGTCCAAAAGGATTAAAAGGATTTAAAGAATTAAATTGCTGGGCTTTTCTTGGGATTCTGGGAGGTCTGGAGGATTAAAAGGATCAAAAGGATTAAACGGTTTAAAAGGATTAAATGATTTAATCCTTTTAATCCTTTTAATCCTCCAGAGCCTTTTGGTAGCTTCAACAGGGTTCCGGATAAAGTTCCGGGAGGCTTTGGTGCAGAGCCAGGTCAGGCTCAACAGGGCTCCGGGGTTCCGGAGAAGGTTCCGGGAGGCTTTGGAGCAGAGCCAGGTTAGGTTCAACAGGGTTCTGGTGAAGGTTCCGGAGAAGGTTCCGGGAGGCTTTGGTGCAGAGCCAGGTCAGGTTCAACAGGGTTCCGGAGAAGGTCTGGGAGGCTTTGGTGCAGAGCCAGGTCAAGTTCAACAGGATTTGTGGCCATTTAACTCACGGAAACCGAGCTGAAGTGTTTCCAGCGCTTGGCTTGGCAGCAGGCTTCAGAAAGATTAGTAAACATAAAACGTTGCGGCTGTTGGGCATACCACCGAAGCTTGTTTTCCAAAGACATTTGCTGTGGATGGAAATTGCATGTCCCTTCAAAGTTGCAAGAATGCAGGGGTGAGGCATGTCACCCTGCCTTTGGCAGCATTGTAAGTGACAGCACACGAGATTTCTTGTAAAGAAGCAACGCCCGGATGTTTGTTTGAAATTTCCTGGAACAAATATTTTTCGACAAGGGCCACATCACCACATGGGACTTTCAAAAAGCAATGCTCTTGAGCTGCATTGACAGCTGGTGAGCCTCCATCCACATTGTGCAAACAGACAACATCACCAGAAGTAATTGTTGCCCCAGAAAAAGTTTACAACGAGAGCTCTGCATGCAAGGCATTCCCACAGGAACCACGCCAGCATTGCATAGGAATGCCGTCATCTTCTTTGTGGGCCCCCTTTGCATTTTGTAGGCAGGTGCCTTCTCTAAACAGTCTTGACTCTTCACCCAATGTATAGATGTGCCCTGCAATGACAGACTTCCTCAGAGAAGTTTCCCAATAGGTAGTGTTGCACAAGACATTCCCATGTTTTCTAGTGCCTTTGTGCTTCCTTTCCATGGTCCAGCATGCAGGTAATTGGCCATGCCTCTGGAGACTTTGACTATAATATGAAGTGACCAGTGCATCTTTGGCTCGAATTCTTCCGACCAGTCAGCTGCAACAGTTGCCTCCAATGCTGCTTCAACAAATGAAAGCAATTGCTTGTAGTCAGGCTTTTCCAAAGCAGGGATGGATAGGCGATAGTCCAAAACTTTGCACCAAGCCAAAGAGCAAGTTGACCCCAGAAGACAAATGCCATTAGGCAAGCAACAAATTTGGACATAGTGTGCCAGCACCTGGTACAGACCCAGAATCTCTGAGGATGCATCTGAACTTCCCAGCTTTTTTGTGGCCTTCCACTGCTTTGGGCAGAAATAGCCTTTTCAAATTGCATTTGTGAATGGCAGGCTGGGCCCAAAGTTGCACAAAGCCATGTGCCTTCCAAATCTCAGCCACACCACTGGAAGCAAGCGGTTGGATCCACAAAAACAAATACCTAGTTCAGCACACCATTTGGGCAGAGCCCATGCATATAATCATGCATGTATTGGGTGATTGGTCTCAGAAGGTTCTGGGACTTCAGCTTGTCACTCAGCAAGAGTGAATGCTGGGAATAATCAACCCCAGAAGCCTGGCTCCACCTTCTTAACTCGGTTTTGTTGCACTCTTGCATCCTTGCCCACGAGGACAGGATTTCTTGGTCTGTTGCAACATCCAACAGAGAGTTTCAGTCTT